TTATTTTTGGGACAGAGAGAGACAGAGCATGAACGGGGGAGGGGCAGAGAGAGAGGGAGACACAGAATCGGAAACAGGCTCCAGGCTCTGAGCCATCAGCCCAGAGCCCGACGCGGGGCTCGAACTCACGGACCGCGAGATCGTGACCTGGCTGAAGTCGGACGCTTAACCGACTGCGCCACCCAGGCGCCCCTATCCTCGTTCTTTTAAAGTCTGTGCCTGCTGGGGGCATCTGCCGGGCCAGCTTAAAACAGCCCCCGACCGCAGGTTAGGAAGGCCTCGTCGGAGGGAGGGAGGGAGGCGGTTTTGTCGGGCTCAGGTCAGAGGCCTCTGGGATGTTGCACCAGGGGCTGAATGTTGGACCAGGGCAGGGTCTGGGAACAGAGCTGGAGTCTGAGCAGCCCTCCTGGGGTCTCCAAGGCCCGGTGCCAGGTGCATCGGTATGGATCGGCAACCCGAGGTACGTGCGTCGGATGCCCGATCCACACAGGACCCCAGATCGTCTGCTCCATTGCCCTCCGACGAGGACCCCGAGAGGGGAAGGTCACAGCAAGTCAGAGTGGGGCTGGGACGAAGCCAGGAGCCAGCATCTCCAGTGCGACACTGATGGTTGCAGGCCAGTTTTGTCTGCAAGCGTTTGGCTGCCAATGTGCATTCGCATTTCTCTGGGCAGGCAGCTGCGGACCTCCTCACCCACCCACAAGCTCTCCATGGGGTTCTGGTTGCTAGGTCTGTGCTCACCTGCCCGCCTTGAGCCAGCTGCCTGGCCCCTTCCACCTCAGGCTGTGCAAACCTGCCTTTCTGCAGTCTCGGTTCCAGAGGGGCTGGCTGACGCGAGGGGAGCAAGAAGGGGGGACCGGCGGGCAGGCGTGCCCTAGCAGCCTGTGTTCGTCCTTCGTAGGGAAGTTCAAGCTCCTGGAGCAGGCCCGGGACGTGCGGGAGCCGGTGAGGTACTTCAGCAGCGTGGAAGAGGTGGCCAGCGTCTTCCCTGACCGCATCTTTGTGATGGAAGCTATCACCTTCAGTGTCAAGGTCAGTCCTTGCCACACCAGGCCTGGTGTCCCCACGCTGGTTGGAGGGTTGTCCTTAGGGTCCAGGAGGCAGAAGGTGTCACAGTGCCCCTTGAGGGCCTTGGGCCATGTCAGAAGAGCCAGGTGTATGACCCACTGGCCTGCAGAACTTCCTGGAATAGGTGGTGAAGTGTGTGTGGAGGGTCCTGCCCTGACTTGGAGATCCTCAGGGCAGCCCGTCCCTTCGGTAGGAAGAGTGGTCGTTGGGGGCACACAGTCCCGGCAGACCCCCACTGGTGTATGGATGGCTCGTTTCTGTTTACAGACCCTTATCCACCAGTTCATTCCTCTTCATAGTAGCCTTGAGTAGATGGAGTATTGTTACTGCCCAGATCGTATAGGCAATGATAATAAAAGTTGCCATTTACTGGATATTTTAAAAGTATGGCACACCAACATGTTGCAGTTCTTCCAAGTAAGAGTTAACACACGAGGCAACTCAGGCCCCAGAAGTAGCTCATTTAAGGTTGCACGGCTGCTACGTGGCCTCTCCGGGAGGGAAGGTGGGTATCCTGACCCTGCAGTCCGGTGCTCTTGATCCGGTCTCAGCCTGGGAAAGGCTCCCAGGTCGGGGAGCGCGGGGGTGTGCGCACGCCTCAAAGGAGGGCTTTGCCTGGGCCACCGGCTAAAGCCCCACCCGGTCTCTGGGATCCGCAGGTGGTGTCGGGCGAGTTCAGCGAGGACAGCGAGGTGTACAACTTCACGCTGCATGCGGGCGACGAGCTCACGCTCATGGGCCAGGCGGAGATCCTGTGTGCCAAGACCACCAAGGAGCGCTCGCGCTTCACCACGCTGCTGCGCAAGCTGGGCCGGGCCGGGGCGCTGGCCGGGGTGGGAGGCGGCGGCCCCGGGAGTGCGGGGGCCGCGGGTGGCGGCGGCGGCGGCGCCAGGCCCGTCAAGGGCAAGATGCCCTGCCTCATCTGCATGAACCACCGCACCAACGAGAGCCTGAGCCTGCCCTTCCAGTGCCAGGGCCGCTTCAGCACGCGCAGCCCGCTGGAGCTGCAGATGCAGGAGGGCGAGCACACGGTGCGTGCCATCATCGAGCGCGTGCGGCTCCCCGTGAACGTGCTGGTGCCCAGCCGGCCGCCGCGCAACCCCTACGACCTGCACCCGGTGCGGGAGGGCCACTGCTACAAGCTGGTCAGCATCATCTCCAAGACCGTGGTGCTGGGGCTGGCGCTGCGCCGCGAGGGCCCGGCGCCGCTGCACTTCCTGCTGCTCACCGACACGCCGCGCTTCGCGCTGCCGCAGGGCCTGCTGGCCGGGGACCCGCGCGTGGAGCGCCTGGTGCGCGACAGCGCCTCCTACTGCCGCGAGCGCTTCGACCCCGACGAGTACTCCACCGCCGTGCGCGAGGCGCCCGCCGAGCTGGCCGACGACTGCGCCAG